GGCTATGGTTTGCAGTTCCCACAAAGCTGCTGCCTTTAACTGCTCTTTAGTAACTTAAACCTCCTTCTCCCCCCCCCACACACACTACAGGAGGATGATGACGTAACTTCAGATGTCGACACCATCTCCATCACCTCAGACAACGGTCTGCTGAGCCGCAACGAGCCAATCCGCAGTAAGGTGTCCAAACTGACGGAGAAGCTACGCAAACGCTACCCCACCAACAACACAGGTCAGTCTACCCTTCATCCCTCTATTCATCTTCTTCTTCCTCACCTCAAGCCTACTTAAGAGGCGGGTTTACTTGCTAGTCTTCAGATAGAATTAAAATCTCTCTTTCCTTCCTCTCCATCTCCCCAACTTGTCCCTCTCCCCCTCCCTCCCCCTCTCCCCCTCTCTCTCTCCCTCCCTCTCCCCGACTCTCTCTCCCTCTCTCTCCCCCTCTCTCTCTCTCTCCCCCTCTCTCTCTCCCTCTCCCTCTCCCTCTCCCTCTGTCCCTCTCCCTCTGTCCCTCTCCCTCTGTCCCTCTCCCTCTGTCCCTCTCCCTCTGTCCCTCTCCCTCTGTCCCTCTCCCTCTCCCTCGTCCCTCTCCCTCTCTCTCTCTCCGTCTCCCTTTCCCCCTCTCTCCCTCTCCCTCTCCCCTCTCTCCCTCTCCCTCTCCCTCTCTCTCCCTCTCCCTCTCCCTCTCTCTCCCTCCCTCTCCCTCTCCCCCTCTCTCCCTCTCTCATCCCAAAGGCAACTGTTCTAGCTGCAGTGCAGTCTTCTCAGTGGTGAAGAGAAGGGTAAGAGCTTTAAACCTGTTTTAAACCACCAATAAATACAATCAGATCTAATACTGTAGTTTGTTTACTAACTCTGTGTGTAACCTGGTTTGCGTCCCAAATGGCACCCTATTCCCTTTATAATCTACCACTTTTGAACAGAGTCCTATGGGCCCTGGTCAAAAGTAGTGAACTATGTAGGGAATAGGACAGGATTGGAGTTAGAGTTTCAGTTTACTTCCTGAATTGACTGACTTCAATTCAAATTGACCCCAACCCTGGAACAGGGTTCCGTTTGGGACATAACAATGATGATGTCAAAAGTGACCTCTGTGACCTCTGCTGTTTCAGCGGAGCTGTAGTAACTGCGGCAACAGCTTCTGCTCCAGATGCTGCTCCTACAAGGTCCTCAAGTCCTGCATGGGTGTCACAGGTGAGAGAGAAACACACACACACACACACACACACACACACACACAACATTATATTATGGTATTTCTGTACTGAAATGATGAAATGATAAATAAGGTCTCAGAAGACGTCAGTTGATAAAAACAATTTTCTATCTCTCCTATTTTACACTCCAACCTCTCATTCCCCATCTCTCTCTCCCCCTTTTTCTCATTGTTTCTCTCTTTACCTCCCTCCCTTCCAGCTCCAGATGCCCAGAGAGAGACAGTGTTTGTTTGTGCAGCCTGCAACTCCTCCCTCAGCAAGTGAGAAATGACTACCCCTCCTACCCAGTCACGGAGACCCAGGGAGGGTACTGCCCCTCCTACCCAGGATTCGAAGCTCCATTGGCTGGGTAGAGCCCCGCGGCAGATCAGCCTCTATCCCCTGGAGGTGGTTCAAAACCCCAGGTTGTCTGGTTCTCTGGCTCCAGCCCATGTGACCAGGGTTATTAAGATGAACCAGTCCCAAATGGCACCCTATGTCCTATAAATTGCACTGCTTCCTATAGTAGTGCACTATATACGGAATAGGGTGCCATTTGGGATGCAGTCCCAGACACCCATCAGCTTGTGCTGCGTTGAGATTTATCCTGTACTGTCATTCTGTCATGAGGGAGGTCCTGAGAATGCTGAGACAAGTGTGTGTGTGTGCGCCTGCGTGTGTGTGTGTGCGCCTGCGTGTGTGTGTGTGTCAGGTGTGTGTGTGTGCGCCTGCGTGTGTGTGTGTGCAGGTGTGTGTGTGTGCGCCTGCGTGTGTGTGTGTGTGTGTGTGCAGGTGTGTGTATTGGGTTGTATAAGATATGCTACAGATTAAACTTGCTATAACTTCTCCATACTGTAATGGTAACGGTTTTAAATGGTTTGATATGTTGGTCCTAATGTTTATTTAATGGATGTATAGACGGATGCTGAAGACTATACCTTCGTCCCAAATGGCACCCTATCCTCTATGTAGTGCACTACAATTGATCAGGGCCCTTTTAAGGTGCTATTTGGCGAAAGTAGTGCACTATAAAGGGAATAGGGTGCTATTTGGGACGCGGCCCGTGGAGCAGACCCTAACCCCAAAGAGTGGTTTCCAGAGGGAACACAGGTTTTACATTCAGACACATAAGAATGTACATGTTACACTTTTACCCTTGTGATCCCCCTATATTTTATTTAAAGCCCCTGAAAGTTTATATTTATCAGATTTATTAATTAATTAATTGGATTGTGTATCTTGACAGAATGGAGGATTATGTTTACCCTTCATTGCTTCAATAAACTAATGTGATGATTTGAATGTTTGAAATTAACTTGTGTGGCATATTTTTCCTGTCTTTTTTCAGCCTAGTTGTAGAGAGCCTGCCCTGCCGGTTTGGTGCATCTGTTGGGGTTTCACTACCATAGACTTAGGTAGACATCGCATCATTGTATCTGTCCCAATATGGTGTCTGTGAGAGCAGGGGCAGCGCCATTGAGGCCATCTCCATTTTGAAGTAGTCCATTTTCTTATTCTACTACTTCTATGAGTTGGAAAACAAACTGAAAGGGTGCACACTGCCACCTGGAGTGTGTTGTTTTAACAGGTAGAAAGCCAAGGTTGGCGATTTACTGCCACCTGCAGTTATTGAATGTTTGCTCACGAGTATAATTCATCGGCTGATCCCTCCTGATGACCTGGATGGAATCATGTGATCCTTCCTTAACCCATAGGAAGTCACACCTAGTTGACTACTTCAAAATGGTTAAAGTCCTCAATGGCACTGCCCATGCTAAAACGGGCTTTTGGGCACGAGAGTCCTCTATCTATCTTTATGGTCACTACTCAACCCAAATCCACCTCATGCCAGAAGGCTCCAGGTTCCTCTCCAATCCTCTCCTCACAACCCAGGGCGAATCTCAATAGTCTGTAGTGCTCCCGGTTCCTCTCCAACCCTCTCCTCACAACCCAGGGTGAATCTCAATAGTCTTAAGTGGCTTCCTTACTTTCCTCGACTCCTTTCCTTTCTTTGTTGGTCTGAAAGTACAAGGACAGCTAAAAAAAAAACTTTAAAAAACGTGTCTTCCTCCATATTGTTTCCACCTTTCCAATCTCCTCCAATCAGTTTATATTATCAGGAGGAAAGGAAACGTACACTATTGCTACGCAATGATATATAGACCACGCCCCGCGCCCTACCCCCTCGTGTGAGGTCCTCCCAACCCCCGCCGCTCTCCGCCCCACCCTACCCCTCCTCTCATCCTCCTCTCCTCCCCCTCGCTCTCTTCCTCCCGCACTCCAACCCGTCCCTGTGTCCCAGTAAAGCTCTTTGAGCTCGTGGACTCGTCCTAGTAGCCTTACGCCGTCAGATGGAAACATGGCGACAGAGGTGAGAATGAATAGAATAATCTGTCCTCGTCTTTCCCTTTACCTCTATGGGCATATGGTTGTATTCTCTTTCCTATGTGGACGTAGCCTTGTGGAGAGGGTTGTAAACTATATTCTGAACCGTTTGAATGCCGTTTGTCAGTAACAGCAGTGGTAGCCCTATGATAGAACGGATTGCGTAGCCTACAATAATTCAAATCACTGTTACCCAGCAACAATAGAAATTAACACAACTGTTTTTTTACTGATAAAAACTAAATTTTGCAGATAACATTTGCTCAATCGGGTCAGGCAGGCAGGTTCATTTAGTCAAATCGTATATTTTAATTAGAAATGGAAGCGTTGTCATTTTGACACTTCTTCGGTCACACTGACTGAAACGGCATGTGAATAGCATATCATCCCTATATCATTCTATTGCCGTATTAAAGGTGTAGGTAGGCGACGTGCGTGAATAGAGGTTAGTTAGAGGAGTTCTCTTTGTGGCACAAAGAGCATTCCAGGCCAGGCTGTGTAGCCTATGCTACAACTGGGGCACGAGAACAGGGATAAACAAGCAATCCTCGCGCCGTTAAGCTGTTTTGGTAAAAGCAGATCTCTTATTTTTTTGTCTGTAGAGTTCCGCTGTTAATCCGGTAGGCAGGCTGGCCCGTGCTAGTGCTGAAGCCTACTAGCGGGTGGCCGCGCGCGCCGCAGAGAGATATCAGCACCGTGGACAGCGACCGGTTGGGGTCAAGGAGAGAAAATCTCCGCGTTTCCACGCATCTTTTCATTTCCGTTATTCGGTCCAACTGCCTTTTTTTTATCGCCTTTCAGTCAGCGACACACTAGGGAAACAAGCTTGACGAACCATAACAGACCAGGCTAGTTTCCAAAACCAAGAAACTAGACTGGCCTACACACCTCCAACCCCCACCTAAACGGCTAACTCCACAACTATGGACATCAAGCTTCTTTATGGGGAAAAAGCGACCATTTGGTGCCATCGTTGGTCCATTGAGCCTTCTAATCCTATTCTTACAGAGATTGATTTGTTGTGAGCTGTTCTGTGATGTTGTGCCTTCTTCTCTTGGCTCAATTCCCTGATCTGTCTGCTGTAGCAGTGTGCATGGTCAGGAGAGAGAGAGAGAGAGGTAGAGAGAGAGAGGTAGAGAGAGCGAGAGGAGTGAGAGAGAATGAGAAGAGAGAGGGGGAGAGAAGGAGAGAGAGAGGAGAGAGAAGAGAGAGAGAGGAGGAGGCTAGAGAGATGAGAGAGGGGAGAGAGGAGAGATAGAGTGTCTGTGTCTGGGCTGTGATCCAGGGGGAACCCCTGTCCTCTATCATCTAGACATCTAAAGACTACAACATCAGCCACTGTTTGGATACATTACCTCTTGCAACAGAGTGTGTGTGTGAGAGAGAGAGAGAGCGAATGAGCAGTTTAGTTTTATTCTCATGGTGAGTCATACACACTGCTTCCTCAGAACCAGAAAGTTAATTCATAATAGAATTCTATTCCACAATCTCTCTCTCTCGCTCTCTCTTATTTTTCTCACATACCTTTCTCTCTCCCCGTCTATGTGTGTGTGTGTGTGTGGTGTGTATCCTGTAGTTCCATAACCTCCAGGAGTTGAGGCACAGTGCATCTCTGGCCAACAAGGTGTTCCTCCAGAGAGACTACAGTGAAGGGACCACCTGCCGCTTCCAGACCAAGTTCCCTGCAGAGCTGGAGAGCAGGGTGGGTAGTCTCTAACACACACACACACACACACGCACACACGCACACACACACACACACACACACACACACACACACACACACACACACACACACACACACACACACACACACACACACACACACACACACACACACACACACACACACGCACGCACACACACACACACACACACAGTAATGGCTGAAAAGACAGCCGAGTGTTTATCTCTCTGTCAGATTGAGCGGACGTTGTTTGAGGACACAGTGAAGACGTTGAATAACCACTATGCGGAGGCAGAGAAGATCGGAGGCCAGTCCTACCTGGAGGGATGTCTGGCCTGCACTACAGCCTACGTCATCTTCCTCTGTATGGAGACACGCTATGAGAAGGTGAGACCGGGCTAAACCACCACATTAGGACCTCAGTAAGACCACAATATAAACATGGTAGAACCACATGGTAGAACCACAGTAGAACCACATGGTAGAACCACAGTGGAACCACATGGTAGAACCACAGTAGAACCACATAGTAGAACCATACAGTAGAACCACAACATGATCACACCAGGATTTGGTCCTCATGATGGCAATGAGGCCCAACATGTCTGTTTTCAATGAGTTGACCTCCTCTCTCTCTCTTTCTTACTTTCTGTATGTTCCTGACTTTCTGTCATACTCTGTCTCCCTCTCTTTTTGTTCTTTCTTTCTCTCTCCCCGCCTCTCTTTCGTCTTGCTCTTTCTGTTCTCTCTCTCTCTCCCCCTCTCTCTCTCTCTCTCTCTCTCTCCCCCCCCTCTCTCTCTACCTCCCCCCCAGGTGTTGAAGAAGATAGGCAGGTACATCCAGGAGCAGAATGAGAAGGTCTATGCCCCCCGAGGTCTGCTGATCACTGACCCCATTGAGAGGGGCATGAGGGTTGTATCCTTACTGCTACTACTGCTGATGTGGTGTCAGAGAGTAGAAGAGAGAGAGAGAGATAGAGAGATAGAGCGAGAGAGATAGAGAATGGGAGATGCGAGAGAGAGAGATAGGATGAGAGCAGGTGCGGTCTAGCTCGCTTCTCCTCGTTGCGTTCTGCCGCGCTCTGCCTCTCTCGCGCTCTCTCTCTGCTCGCTCTCTTCGCTCTCTCTCCTCGCTCCTCGCTCTCGCTCTTCGCTCTCTCTCCTCTCTCATCTCTTACTCGCTCGCTCTCTCCTTCCCGCGCTCGCGCTGCCTTCGGCTCCCTCTCAGCTCGCGTTTTCGCGAGCTCTCCGTTGCTCGCGCGTTGCCGCTGTTTCCGACTGCGAGACTGTGCTCGTGCCACTATATATGTAGGCTCCCAAGATAAGGATCTTGTACACAGTGTATGTGTGTGTATTAATGTGTGTATTGGATAGACCCAGCCACTCCCTATCGGAGTGTGTTCCTTCCTTTAACCCCGTCCTGTCCAGATAGAGATCTCTATCTATGAGGACCGAGGCTCCAGTGGCTCCTGCTCAGGCTCCAGCTCTACATCCGGCAGCAGTGCTCGGTGACCGGGTACAAGTCACCTCCTCGCCCCTCCTGGTCCCTGGAACTCTACACCCAACCGCAGTGTTCGGTGACTGGGTACATGTCACCTCTAACCCCCCTGATCCCTGGAGCTCTACCCTCCCTGGTCACTTAGAGAACCACCCCGACAGCATTGCTTGGTGACTGGGTAGGCCTCACCTCCTCGCCTACCACAACCACAATGGCCCTGACCACAACAAACTGGAGCTGACTGACTAGACACTCGATTGCAACTGAACCACATGGATCGGATCAAGCCGAATCTATCAATGTTGTGGAATACTGATGATTCAAAATTACATTTAGGATACCTCCCAAATGGCACCCTTTTCGGACACTGTTTTTTTAAAAAAGACACTAGATAGGGAATAGGGTGGCATTTGGGACGCACATCCTCCTATTCCCCATATAGTGCACTAGTTTGAGGCTCTGGTGAAAAGTAGTGCACTTTATGGAGGATAGTAGTGTCCTAGATAGGGAATAGGGTGTCATTTGAGACGGAGCGGTGATGGAGTACTACCCACCTGGCTGTAGTCATGAATGCACACTGTAGCGAAACGTTCTGCCAGTGGGGAAACGAAAACAAACATTTCTTATTGGACAAGATTCAGGTAATCCCTCCACTGTTTTCAGTTAGTTTTCTACCGTTAGGTGTCTTGTGAATAGGCCTACGACCCAGACTTCTAACCCAGATATGTACTGTAGGAGAGCTAGGCCGCGTCCCAAATGGCACCCTATTCCCTGTATAGTGCACTACTTTTGACCCCAGTAGTGCACTATATAGGGAATAGGGTGCCATTTGGGACCCAGTACTACATAGCTCAGCTGAGATGTAAACCACATGGATGGCCTGATAGTAGCACACAGATGAATGTAGCTAGTTCCACCCAGAGACATATATTTTAGCCTGTATAAAATGGCTCTGGTACCATCTGTCACTGGTCACTGTCATAATGCATCTTGCATCATCCACTCCTCAACCCAACTAACCTCTTGGTGTCACAGTGCTGAACCACCAACTCTCCTAGATCTATATTATGCAAATACACAGCTACTTGTATAGAGTATGTAGCATCCTTTAACAGTGTTCTTCAGTCCTGGTCCTGGTGTTTTAGTGCTGGACTGGAACAAAAGCCTGCACCAGGACCAGTGGTCACGAACACAAAAATTAAGATCTCGATCATTATCGGTTTAAAATGATGCACGCGCACAAACACACAACACACACACTCACACAAACACTCCTTCCTTTTTTTGCTACACAAACCCTCCTCCAAAGAACCATAAACTGCCAAAACTAAATTATTTCCTGATGTGAAGTATCTGCCTTTTTCTTTTAATCTGTGACATGTTTATGCAAAAGTATAGATCAGGAACCTTCATAATGCTTGTTGTTGTTGTTGTTAATTGATACACATGATAAGAAGAACTTTGATAAATAAATACTGCTCAACCACCACTCCATTTTAAGATGAATGTCGTTCTTTTTCACTGTGTCAAGGAAAATACCCACTGGTTGAATCATTTCATTTCATTTACGTCATTTAGCAGACGCTCTTATCCAGAGCGACTTACAAATTGGTGCATTCACCCTATAGCCAGTGGGATAACCACTTTACAATATGTTTTTTTTTTTTTTTTTTTTTTTGGGGGGGGTAGAAGGATTACTTTATCCTATCCCAGGTATTCCTTAAAGAGGTGGGGTTTCAAATGTCTCCGGAAGGTGGTGAGTGACTCCGCTGTCCTGGCGTTGTGAGGGAGCTTGTTCCACCATTGGGGTGCCAGAGCAGCGAACAGTTTTGACTGGGCTGAGCGGGAACTATGCTTCCGCAGAGGAAGGGGAGCCAGCAGGCCAGAGGTGGATGAACGCAATGCCCTCGTTTGGGTGTAGGGACTGATCAGAGCCTGAAGGTACAGGAGGTGCCGATCCCCTCACAGCTCCATAGGCAAGCACCATGGTCTTGTAACAGATGCGAGCTTCAACTGGAAGCCAGTGGAGTGTGCGGAGGAGCGGGGTGACGTGAGAGAACTTGGGAAGGTTGAACACCAGACGGGCTGCGGCATTCTGGATGAGTTGTAGGGGTTTAATGGCACAGGCAGGGAGCCCAGCCAACAGCGAGTTGCAGTAATCCAGACGGGAGATGACAAAGTGCCTGGATTAGGACCTGTGCCGCTTCCTGTGTAAGGCAGGGTCGTACTCTCCGAATGTTGTAGAGCATGAACCTGCAGGATCGGGTCACCGCCTTGATGTTAGCGGAGAACGACAGGGTGTTGTCCAGGGTCACGCCAAGGCTCTTCGCAATCTGGGAGGAGGACACAACGGAGTTGTCAACCGTGATGGCGAGATCATGGAACGGGCAGTCCTTCCCCGGGAGGATTTCAATGAAATTACGCTGAATCAACGTGTAATAAACGTTGAATTGACTTCTCTAGTCTCGTTCGTATCTTATCTCATACATCTCTCCCCAGAACCTAAATGAGCATCTGACGCAATTATGTGAGATTTTAGTTCTGGGTTTCCAAGATTACATTCATCATCACACAGTTTTCAAACTGTTACAGACAACATGCGTAAACTTTCCATTCCCATTCACTTGCTGACTCTTCAGACCATCACAGATAATGATTGCCGAACGTCTTACTATCTGGTCCAACTGAGCATGGCAAACCCCCCAAAAAAAGGAAGTGCACAGTTGTCCAGAGTTGAGGGGTCATGGGTCACGCCCTCTTGCAGCATAAATGTCAAAGTTAATCCGGTAGGACCTTCACCCTCCTGGAGCATCATTGGAGTCTGTGGGAGGGCTGTGGTCGAAAGTAGTGCTCTCAATAGGGATTGACCAGGGCTCTGATCAAAAGTAGTGTGCTATATAGGGAATAGGGTACAATTTGGGACTCAGTCAAGCAATCCCCATGGAGGCATGTGACTGCGGGGCCCCTAGCCTCATACCTCCATCCAGACCATGGAAGGGCCAAAAACAGGGGGAAACCCAGAAGGGGGCCCCGGCCCGGGGGGGGAGAGCGACCCCCTGGAAGAAACCAGCTAAAAGTGTGAGAGAGAGAGAGGAGAGAGGGGGGGGAAAAACGGAAAAAAAAGAGGGAAAAGGAGGAGGGGGGAAGAGGGGGGCTTGGTTCGAGGGGGGGAATGGGGGTTTCTGGGGTTAGGGGGGGGGATGAGGGGGTTGGTGGGTAGTCTTGGGGGGGGGGGTATGGGGGGTTACGTCTAGGTTGTCAGGGGGTAATGAAATGGGGGTTTTGGGGGTTTGGGGGGGGGTTTTGGGGTTTTTTTGGGTTTTGGGGGGGGGGGTTGGGGACCTTATTTTTTTTTTTTCCCCCCCCCCCCCCCCTTCCCCCCCCCCCCCCCTCCCCCCTCCCTCCTCCCCCCCCAAAACCCCCCGTTTTGGCTTTCCCCCGGGGAAAAGGGGGCCCCGGGGCCCTTTTTGGGGGGTTGGTGGAAGGGGGTTTTTGGGGGAAAAATGGGGGGGGTGTTTTAAAACCCCCCCCCCTTGGGGGTTTTTTTTAAATTTTTGGGGGTTTTTTGGGGGGGGAAAGGGGTTTTTTGGAATCCCCCCCCCCCTTTTAAAAGGGAAAAATTTTTTTAAAAAATTTTTTAAAAGGGGGGGGAAAGGGGGGGTGGGAGGGGCCGGGGGTTTGGGGGGGGAGAAAGGGGGGGGAGTTTGGGGGGGTTTTTTGGGGGGGGTTTTTTTTTGTTTTTTTTTGGGGGTTTTTTTTTTTTTTTTTTTTTTTTTTCCCCCTTTTTTTTTTTCTTTGGGGGGGGGGAAAGGGGTTTTGGGGGGGAGGTTTTGGTGGGTTTTGGGGGGGGAGGTTTTTGGGGGGGGTTGGACGGGGTTTTTTTTTTTTTTGGGGGGGGTTGGGGTGGGTTTTTTCCCTTTTTTGGGGGGTTTTTGCCCCGGGGGTTTTTTTTTTTTTTTTTTGATCTCGATTATGCTTGTCAGCTGACGGTCTTGCGGGGACCTGTTCTTACCTCGTTGTCTGGGGGAGAGGGTAGTGGGGGGGAGGGTCAAAGTGGAGCAAAGGTGTTATGGATTTCATCCCCCCAAACATTGGTGATAATATTTGATCAACTAAATATTTCTTGAAGAGAGTGTCTGATTCACTAGTTGTCATCTACGGGCGAGGCGTGGTTGGGAGGGGAGGGTCAGGTTGGATGGGGAAGGAAGAGGGGGGAGGGATAGTGAGGCTGAGTTAGTGTGAGAGGGGGAGGTGAGAGAGGGGAGGGATAGTGAGGCTGAGGTAGTGAGACGGTGGAGGGTTTGTAGAGGGGGGAGGGATAGTGAGGCTGAGTAGTGAGACGGGGAGGGTTGAATGATAGAGCGGGGGGAGGGAAGTGGGCATGAGGTAGTGAGACGGGGGAGGGTGAGAGAGGGGGAGGATAGTGAGGCGTGAGGTAGTGAGACGGGGGAGGGTGTAAGAGGGGGAGGGATAGTGAGGCTAGGTAGTGAGACGGGGGAGGGTGTAGAGAGGGGGAGGGATAGTGAGGCGTGAGGTAGTGAGACGGGGGAGGGTGAGAGAGGGGGGAGGGATAGTGAGGCATGAGGTAGTGAGACGGGGGAGGGTGAAGAGGGGGGGAGGGATAGTGAGGCGTGAGGTAGTGAGACGGGGGAGGGTGTATAGATGAGGAGGGAGGGAGGGATAGTGAGGGGCATGAGGTAGTGAGACGGGGGAGGGTGTGAGCTGAGTGTGCGGGAGGGTGAGGAGGGATAGTGAGGCATGAGGTAGTGAGACGGGGGAGGGTGAAGAGAGGGGGAGGGATAGTGAGGCGTGAGGTAGTGAGACGGGGGAGGGTGAAGAGAGGGGTCAGATGGAGGGATGGAAAATGTATGGGAATAATTGATTACTGATAAGATCTTGTGCTTTGAAAAGATTGTTGGATTCCATCAATGTTGTTTTATTGATTTATTTGGGATGGTTGATTATTCTTCAACTAATTCTAATAAATTAGCAAAAAGAGGGAAAAAAAACGTATTTTCAAGAGAAACAAAGAAAAGTAGAAAAATCAAAAGGTTTCACAGAGAAGAGGACACTTATGAAAGATCAAAGAAAAACAGAGATAATCTACTGTGGTTCAAATGAGTAAAACAATATGGAGTATCATCTGTCTTTGACAGTATACATTATCTCGATGACAAGGCATATTTCTTATGTTGCTTCAAGGTATCTCATTCACTGCCCTCATATACCTGCAGAGAGAGGGAGGGAGGGAGAGAGAGAGAGGAGGGGAAAAGAGAGAGACAGATATACAGACAGAGCGAGAGAGATAGAGAGAGGGCCAGAGAGGAGAGAGAATGAGAGAGAGAGCGAGAACTTCATTTATTAATCTGTATGTTTACTATATTGTAAGTGTTATGTTATATTCCATCTATTCTCTGCCAGACAAGACAGAGATCTACATACCTGCACAGCGGCCATTCTTGACAAGGAATCCTTCCCCACACTGAAAAAGACCAGAACGTCAGTTCAAAGACACATCCAGCTCCACCATTTTGAATGGTAACAGAAAGGCTGAATCATCAACCACTGAATAACTACTAGTGAACAACTACACGTGTATTTCATTGATGGTCTTGGGAGAAAGAAGTCAAACGGTTAGAAATATCCATACGATGTAATAAAACAGAAAATACAATACTACTGTTGTCATAAAGGGGTAAGAATGTAGTCACTGGTCATGGGTTGGCTGAAACATTAGCCAGGGTCATAGTTCATATGTCATGGTGTAGGTCCGTGGTGCGTACCTGGGTATCAGGGGTCAGCACAGACTCCTCCCCTTCTTTAGGGTAGCCAATCTCCATCACAGAGTTCATATCACCAGGCTGCAGTGGGCGGGCCACGGAACGGCCATCCGGCCAATAGACCTCCACCACGGTGACCTCGTCCTTGCCTGTGAGCCAATGTGAAGAAAGGAAGATAAATACAGAAGCTATCCAGAACTCCTAGCTAATATGTCTACGATATGTCTACTGCACAGGAGGTTGGTGGCACCTTAATTGGGGAGGATGGGCTTGTGGTAATGGCTGGAGCGGAATAGGTGGAATGTTATCAAATACATCAAACACATTTGATGCCATTCCATTTGCACCGTTTCAGATATTATTATGAGCCGTCCTTCCCTCTGCAGCCTTCACTGTGCCCCATGCACTTGTGGAGATCTGAGAGGATTTGATTGGTATAAGCAATATGGCAAAACTTCCACCTCATAGCCAGAGGGGAAATTGAAGCAATTATCATATTGACTGCACCTGTCAAATCCTCTCAGATCTCTACAGATCCTCTCAGACACAAACAGGAAGTTACCCAGTCCGAAGTGGGCGACAGGCTCCATCTCACAGAGGTACCCCGAGCCTCCGTCGATGATGCGTGTGAGAGCCCCGCTCTGATTTGTGTAGGCCGTGACTCGGGCCCCACGGGCAAAGGAGCCGAACCGCGTGCGAGGGATTACACGCAGCCAGTGATTGGACGAGCCCTGTCAGGGTCAAATATCAGGGGGTAAAGGTGATGGGGTCAGGAATATGTCGGATGATATCATGGGCCCTGTTCAAACACTTGAGAGTACATCCTCTCCTCCTTCCTTCCTTCCTTCCTTCCTTCCTTCCTTCCTTCCTTCCTTCCTTCCTTCCTTCCTTCCATATAAATATGATAATAAACAAGGAGTTAACATATTGATTTGTAATCATCGTCTTGCATCAAAATATCTAAATGAAATCTCATCTGCTTGCAGTAACTCTCCACCAGGGAGCAGTAATGAGGTAGTGAACATAGAGAGAAAGAGGGGTCTGGATGGATAGAACCCGTTGTAGCAGGATCAGGACTCAAGCACTGATGGTAAATCACCAATATTAGCTTTACAGTTTAAAAAAAATAATTATACCCAAAATAAGACGAAAATGGACTACTTTAAAATAGAGGTAGTCATCAATGGCGCTGCCTGTGCTGTCACAGAAGCCATTATGGCAAAGATGCAATGATGTGCCCTCTATCTACCTCTATGGTAGTGACTGACCTGAGTGACCTTGAAGACAGAGATGGGCTGAGAGGCACTCTCCCCATGAGCCACCAGCAGGTCCAACTGACCGTCCCCGTCAAAGTCTGTTACCGTGGCACCTGTCAATCACAGAGTCAAAACATCAAACGGCCAATCAAAAACAGGGCCTGTTTAGCCCTCGTAAACCAGGGGAACCACCTGAACCGGGTGTGTCGTAACTTCTGTTTTTAACCAATACTCAGCAAAAACAGAATACATTAGTTTGAGAATACTTTATTAATCTTGTATTACAGGGGTGTCAAACTCAATTCCTGGAGGGTCGAGTGTCTCCAGGTTTTCGCTCCTAGTTTGATTGATAAATGAAGGTCATTGACGAGTTAGGATCTCCCCTAACCTGGTTGTCAATGTCTTAATTAGACATGGCAACAACAAAACCAGCTGATACACGGTCCTCCAGGAAATTAGTTTTTGACTCCCCTGTTGTATAGGGACCAAAAGAATGAGTCTGCAAGGTGTGGTTACCTGTACCCCGGCCCTGTGGCTCTGCTGCCTCCCCCACGTTTAGCTCCTCTATCTGGGGGTCAGCACCAGCCCTCCTGGCCACCCTGGAGGAGCAGGCAGACAACACATTTCAGAAACGGTCTATCTTTCTCTCTCTCTCTCTCGCTCTCTCTCTTTTTCTTATTATCTCACACCCACAGTTATTATCTCACACCCACAGTTATTATCTCACACCCACAGTTATTATCTCACACCCACAGTTATTATCTCACACCCACAGTTATTATCTCACACCCACAGTTATTATCTCACACCCACAGTTATTATCTCACACCCACAGTTATTATCTCACACCCACAGTTATTATCTCACACCCACAGTTATTATCTCACACCCACAGTTATTATCTCACAGTTCAAGTCAAAAGACCAGTTATTGATCTGTCACACCCAGCGAGTTATGATTGAAGTTAAGTCAAAGTGGCTGAGGTCGAGTGTACCAAAGCGGCGATGGGGCGTGTCCTCTGTAGGCGATGTTGTTGAAGAAGATGTCCAGCTCCTGGTCGTTGTCAAAGTCAGCAGCAATGACTGTCCTCACAGGAGAGGGATGCAGGAGATATGGCCCCCTGGTATGTCCTGCTTACCTGGGATGATATGATCGAGAGAGAGATGTGAGATCGGAGACGATCGAGAGATGACGTAGGTCGTTAGTAGAGAGATGAACAGAGAGAGAGACTTCGACAGTAGAGGTAGGCGAGATGAGGCGAGAGGACTAGATCGATCTGAGAACTGACGGAGTGAGGGAGAGGAGGGAAACAGGAGAGAGAGAGAGGGAGACGAGAGAGGGGGAATGAACAGAGAGAGAGGGAGTTAGGGACAGAGAGAGAGAGGAGAGTGAGGGAGGGAAAAGAGGAGAGAGCGGGAAGAGAGGGGGGGAACAGAGAGAGAGGGGATTGAGAGAGAGAGGGAGGAGAGGTAGATAGAGAACAGAGAAAGAGAGAGCAGAGGAAGAGATGCACCGAGATAAGTCGGACGATGATCATAGAGGAGAGAGAAGAGGAGAGAGCTTTAGGAGAGGGGAGGAGAACAGAGAGATAGAGAGGGAGGCTATCTATTATATAGATAGAGAATCATAGATATGGGAGTCCGGATCTCTTATCTAGCATTTACCGATAGCTCTATCTAATCTATATATATTATCTCTTACTTAGATATAGAGAATGAGGGAACAAAGGGTTTAATCCACTTCCCTTTTAGCCCATTTCCTCTGCTCTATCCCACTACCTCCCTCCCTCTCCCATCCTCCTTCAATCCCCACTCCTCTCCAACCATCCATCCCATCCATGACGTCCCATTCCTCCTTATCTCCCTCAGCCACCTCCCTCCCCCAATCCTTCCATCCCCTCCCTCCCTCCCTCCCTCCCTCCCTCCCTCCATCCATCCCCTCCCTCACCCTGAATCTCTGGTTGTTGTCCTGTAGGTACAGTCTGTGCTGGCCATTCCAGTTTCCGTAGACGATGTCAGTCTTTCCGTCAGCGTTAAAGTCTGCCAGCGCCACGCCTCGGCCGTGTTGGTAGCGGTCCTCCACACCTACAGGGGGAGCCACATCACTGTCATAAGAACAACTATGCAGAGATCATGGCTATGGCCCAATTATCTCTTCTTCCTCACACACCCTAGACACACAAACACCCTTGGCACACACACCCGCCCTAGACACACACACCCGCCCTCGACATATACCCACCCTCGACACACACCCAACCTCGACACACACACCTGCCTGTTGAGCCATGTCAGTGAAGGTTCCGTCTCCATTGTTCCGGAACAGGAAGTTAGGTCCGTTCTCGTTGTCACAGAACACGTCAGAGCTGCTCTGGCTCAGGATTGGTCCAACCACTACACCACGCCCACCTGGTGGGAGGAGACAAACAGATAAATGATATAGAAGGTATTGGTTTGAGATGGGTAAGCCCACACACACTTATTCCATTCACTCTTGTCTAGTACCTGTGTACTTGTTGACCCCGGCCTGTGCTGCTACGTCAGACAGGGCGATGATGCCTTTGGCCAGGTCACTGGCTGCCTCGTCCATCTCTATCAGGGCATGGGGACCAACATTACCACTGGCATAGTTAGCTACATACACAGCATAACGCCCTGTACCCTACAGGAGAGAGAAAGAGGGGGGGAGAGACGGACAGACAGATAGACGACAGACAGACAAACAGAGATGGACAGAGAAAATAGTGAGAGGATGGATTGATGAATAATTAGATGGAAAGACTGATTGATTCATAATTAAATGGATAGACTGATTCATGAATAATTAGATGGATAGACTGATTGATGAATAATTAGATGGATAGACTGATTGATGGATAATTAGATGGATAGACTGATTGATGGATAATTAGATGGATAGACTGATTGTTTACATACCTTTCTGTCCACACACGCCACGGAGCGTCCTGCCATCCGATTGGCTACTCCTCGGCGCACGTTGATGTCATCACCCAGCAGGTCCTCGAAGCGTCCGTTACGGAACTTAAAGAGCTTGTCAGAGTATGTGGCCCGACCTTCCAAAAGAAGATTGTTACTGACTACCAGAGTAAGCATTGTTGTTGTTGTTGTTTACTCGGCTAAGCATTGTTGTTGGTGTTGTTTGTGTTTACCTGCTGTTATTATTGTTATTTACCAGAGTAAGCGTTGTTTGTATTGAGGAAGTAGATCTCCTCCCGCCCGTCCCCATCTACGTCGCAGGCCGTCACCCCGATGGCGTTCCCCCAGGGGGTCTCTCAGGGCGTAGAAGGGAGAGCTGCGGTCGTCCACCGCTATGTTCACCAGCCTCCGCTGACCACGGTCATACTTCAGGACCAGGTTAGGACCGTTGTACCTGAGAATGGAAGTAGAGAACATTAGTACAGTGGGGAAAAAAAGTATTTAGTCAGCCACCAATTGTGCAAGTTCTCCCACTTAAATAGATGAGAGAGGCCTGTAATTTTCATCATAGGTACACGTCAACTATGACAGACAAATTGAGGAAAAAAAATCCAGAAAATCACATTGTAGGATTTTTAATGAATTTATTTGCAAATTATGGTGGAAGATAAGTATTTGGTCACCTACAAACAAGCAAGATTTCTGGCTCTCACAGACCTGTAACTTCTTCTTTAAGAGGCTCCTCTGTCCTCCACTCGTTACCTGTATTAATGGCACCTGTTTGAACTTGTTATCAGTATAAAAGACACCTGTCCACAACCTCAAACAGTCACACTCCAAACTCCACTATGGCCAAGACCAAAGAGCTGTCAAAGGACACCAGAAACAAAATTGTAGACCTGCACCAGGCTGGGAAGACTGAATCTGCAATAGGTAAGCAGCTTGGTTTGAAGAAATCAACTGTGGGAGCAATTATTAGGAAATGGAAGACATACAAGACCACTGATAATCTCCCTCGATCTGGGGCTCCACGCAAGATCTCACCCCGTGGGGTCAAAATGATCACAAGAACGGTGAGCAAAAATCCCAGAACCACACGGGGGGACCTAGTGAATGACCTGCAGAGAGCTGGGACCAAAGTAACAAAGCCTACCATCAGTAACACACTACGTGGCTGGGTCTTTCAGCATGACAATGATCCCAAACACACCGCCCGGGCAATGAAGGAGTGGCTTCGTAAGAAGCATTTCAAGGTCCTGGAGTGGCCTAGCCAGTCTCCAGATCTCAACCCCATAGAAAATCTTTGGAGGGAGTTGAAAGTCCGTGTTGCCCAGCGACAGCCCCAAAACATCACTGCTCTAGAGGAGATCTGCATGGAGGAATGGGCCAAAATACCAGCAACAGTGTGTGAAAACCTTGTGAAGACTTACAGAAAACGTTTGACCTGTGTCATTGACAACAAAGGGTATATAACAAAGTATTGAGAAACTTTTGTTATTGACCAAATACTTATTTTCCACCATAATTTGCAAATAAATTCATAAAAAATCCTACAATGTGATTTGCTGGATTTTTCTTTCTCATTTTGTCTGTCATAGTTGACGTGTACCTATGATGAAAATTACAGGCCTCTCTCATCTTTTTAAGTGGGAGAACTTGCACAATTGGTGGCTGACTAAATACTTTTTCCCCCCACTGTAGGTATAGTTCTAAATGGCACCCTATTCCCTGGATAGTGCACTACTTTGACCACAGCCCTAACTTCAGGATCAGGTTAGGGCCGTTGTACCCAAGAATGGGTGTAGGTTGAGAACATTGGGTAATTTATGCATAGCCTGTAAAGTCCTATGGTCCAGTAAACTGTACTCAATGATGGCCTTTGAATGCCCTCTCCTCTCCATCCCTCTAACTCCCTCTCTCCTCTCCATCCCTCTCTAACTCTTTCTCTCTCTCTCTAACCTCCCCCCTCCCCTCTCTCACCCCGCCACCACCACCTCCAGGTCTCCGTCCCCGTCCACATCAGTAACGGCCATCCCATAGTTCAGCTGGGTGGGGTTGTGCTGGTTGTCAGGAGGCAGGACTGTCTCAGTCACCGACCGGAACATGGGCTCAGAACTCTGGGCCAAGCCACGCCCACACAGCACCAGGAGGGGGAGGAGCAGGGGAAGACCCGCCCACCAACGCAGCATCATCACAACAATCTGAATAGAAATGGAATTGATCCAACCCTGCAATAGACACCAAATGGGCTTAGTTAAAAATGCAAACAATTTACAGGGTGTTTAGATGTCAACTTAAACCTCTATGTTAATACATGGTTTTAAACACCATATTTTAATATCCACATTAGAATCATAGGGCATGCATGCATAGCATAGGCTACTGCAGAATATAGGTTGGTGAGAGCAGTATAGCAGGAAACACACTGAACAATAAAACGAGTCTACTGTGCATCATTTACCGTATTACATCATAGACTCAACAACAGCAATAGCCTCAAACTGCTAAATTCTTATTCACCCCTGTCCACAAGAGCCTAATATGACAATTACTTATACAAAATTGTGCGTACCAGTGCACAAAAGTGAAAATACTTACTATAAATATGCAGTGAACTGTCATAGATAGAAACAAAAAAAACATACGTGCAGTGAATATCTCTTGCATAAGATTACGTCATGAGTTTTGAATGCACCTGTAAAACATTCTATTCTATACTATTATTATATTATGTTAGTTATGCAATTCGGTAATCACAACTGTAATACTGAGATGAACACTTATTTAAAAACATGGACCTGTGTGTGTGTTGCTGTTTATTCATTTGGGAGAAGAAGACATAAATCTTACCTTCTATCAGTTTACAGCAGGACTGCAGTGTTCTATCCCTAAACTGTGGACGCGCTCCGATGAGAAGATGTTACTGTATTCTGATGCATTGTGTAAATTGTCTTATACAACTTCAATGTTGTTGCTTTGTGCAAGCGCTTGTGTAAGTGGTTAACCAATCAGAGTGGAATACTTTTAATATTGGGCGGTTCGACCAATGACTTGTCTTTTTTCAACAGAACTACAATTACCAGCAGCAATTGTAGTATAACGTCATATACATGCGACACTGTTTTTTCCCCTTCTAATTCTAAGCATCCGGCGGTTTGTTGTACGGTGGATATCTAGCCAAGTAATAAACTACGGATTAAGGTATCTTGCTAATGCTTATGACATATGCGTTTATGATTTTAAAGAAATCATTGTATAGAATGTCTTGCTCTACAGTGCATTCTGTGTTTTGGTGTATTTGGGTTATTGCTAGCTAAACTGAATGCATACTGCTGCATAACGCAGCCAAGTGTATCACTCAAACACCAAAACCCCGTTACTGACAACGAATTAGCAGAGAATGTAGTTAACCAGTTTGGACTTGTATTTAATTTAGTACAGTATAGGTGTGTAAGATTTGTACATACAGTTTTAATGGTTTTATGTACCGTGGCGCATGCTTGCTAGCTATTGAATGACTGAGGGGGGTTATGCGAATTAACTAAAGAGAATTGGAGAGAGAGGCCTAGCTACTTAATGAACCTATCATGTTCCCCTTCACATGTATAATGAGTGCCATTTGGGATGCATCCTTAATATGATTTGTGCCCCCTCCTTTCTCTTCTATGTAGGACAGTTGTATGGTGATGGAGGGGGAACAACCTCAAGAGGACAGTGCCCAACCCCAGCCCCCCGCGTCCTGCTCCAAGAAGCCAGACAAGACCCTCTACCAGCCCAAGAAGAAGCAGGACGGCCCCAAAGATAAGGCCCAAACCCAGGGAGACGGCAAACCAAAGCCCAGGCCTCGCTACACGGACAAGGCCCGAAAAAACGCCAAGAACAAGAAGGACAAAGGAGGGAAGACAGGAGGAGAGGGGAATGGAGTCCTAAACGGTGAGGCCAAACTGGAGGAGAGGGTAGAAGGAGGAGGGGAGAAAGGGCCACAAAATGATGGACAGGCTGCTACAGCCAATCAGGAAGGAGATGGAGTTGTGGGCTCGCGACTGGAGGGAGGGAGCGAGAGTTCTCCTGAGAGAGAAGGGGGATCCCGGGAGGGGATAGAGGAAGGCCTTCAGGAAGAGGAAGAGGAGGAGGAGAGCTGGGACGCTCTCTTTGATGACGAAGGAGAGTGTTTGGACCCCCATGTGCTAGAGGAGGTGAGTCTGCCTGTGTGTATGTCTGTTTGAAGAGGTGAGTCTGTCTGCCTGTGTCTACCTGTGTCTGTCAGGAGGTGAGTCTGTCTGTCTGCACCCCTAGAATACTGCTATAACACTCAATGTATGTCTGCTACTTATTAGTGGTACTATTGCTGCAATGCTGTTAGTAACACATCCACTGTTCTGTCTATAGTTGGGCATATTTAGTAGTTTTGCTTACTAGTCTCCTATCTCTCTCAAGCCTTCTCTCTAAGGGGAGCTGTCCCTTCTTTAGACGTCTCTTCCCATTCATAAGGAGTAGTCGCCTGTGCTCTCGTCTTCAGAGGTGGCCTGCGGGTCGAACTGATGTCGGCGGTGCAGGAGGCCAGGTTGACCTATAACTGCTATAACAGATGTGAGTCGGGGACATATGACTACTGCTAGAGATGAGCTGTCTATAACAATCACGACTGTCCATCAGAGTTTAAGTACTTGACTGGTCAATCCTTCCAGCTCTCCCTCGTACCCTACCTTCTCCTACTCAAGCATTCCCCGTACCCAGCTCTATAGTTGCAAATAAATGGGCTGCCAGGGCAGTTCATGGCCAGGTGCAACGTTTCGTCGCAAGTTAGCCCAAATACACTGTCTGATGCTAACATCTAATTCTACTTAGAGTCACATCGTTTAGACAGGGCCTAAGTATCCTTAAGACTAGGTACCGTTTGGACACCCTCGATCTTCACCTCACATATTAATAATATTAGATATAGGCTTCAGCTATACTGGTGCTTTCCCAAAGTTACCAAATTACAGCTGCTGTAAATGGGCCCATTCTCTAGGCATGTCACAGCCTAAGTCAGTCTATATAGAATAGCTTGACCACCCTCGACTACCTCTCTTCTCTTGTAAGGTAGCCTATGGGTTTGTAAGAGTAAAGTTCGGTCAATCTCATTGGGATGCCCTAGTCCTATCTAACTAGGACCAGTACCTCTCTCTTGTCAAGTGTACTGCTCCATTTGTCAAGAGGTAGCGTGCTCCAATTCTCAGAGGTACCAGTCCCTCTTGTCAAAGGTAGCCAGTCTCCATCTTGTCAAGATAGCCAGTGTCCATCTTGTCAAGAGGTAGCCAGTGCTCCATCTTGTCAAGAGTAGCCATGCTCCATCTTGTCAAGAGGTAGCCGTGCTCCATCTTGTCAAGAGTAGCCAGTGCTCCATCTTGTCAAGAGGTAGCCAGTGCTCCATTTGTCAAGAGGTCCTGCTCCATCTTGTCAAGAGGTAGCCAGTGCTCCATCTTGTCAAGAGGTAGCCAGTGCTCCATCTTGTCAAGAGGTAGCCAGTGCTCCATCTTGTCAAGAGGTAGCCAGTGCTCCATCTTGTCAAGAGGTAGCCAGTGCTCCATCTTGTCAAGAGGTAGCCAGTGCTCCATCTTGTCAAGAGGTAGCCAGTGCTCCATCTTGTCAAGAGGTAGCCAGTGCTCCATCTTGTCAAGAGGTAGCCAGTGCTCCATCTTGTCAAGAGGTAGCCAGTGCTCCATCTTGTCAAGAGGTAGCCAGTGCTCCATCTTGTCAAGAGGAAGCCTACAGTATGTGGTAGAGATGAGATGTTAAAGGTGTTTGTGTCTGTAGGCAGAGAGGCTTTGACATCCAGTTTGTGGACGATACACACGCCCTGGCTCTCTTCAACAGCCCCATAGCAGGTGAGTCACAACTGGGTTACAACTGAACATGTTTCTTACCTTATGGAAAGCACCGTCTGTCTCTTTTCTGTGAAACTTTACTAAAGGTGTTTGGATGGTAAAATGAAGTAGTGGTCAACGTGTTAATGATTTTAATAGTAGAGCTGACTTAACTGTCTTCTCAGTCAACACTCAAGTCAACATTTGAGGTAAGCATTTAGCAACTGAACTCTCCATCTCTCTCTCTCTCTGTCTGTGTCTGCGTGTTCTTGTGTGTGTGTGTGGTGTGTGTGTGTGTCAGCTCGGGAGGCTCTGAGGACCAAACATCCTCTGTTGAAGGTCAGGTCTCTGGCTAAAGCCTCCGTCACCACCAGGGCAAAGGCTCGCAGCTGCTCAGGTACTAACTATCCTCTCTTTCATTCATCTGTCCTTCCTTTCCTTTATCCTCCATCATTCAGAGTGTTTCTGGAACTCCTTCTTTGACCGGTTCTCTCTTCCTCTACATCTCCTCTCTCATCTCTCCTGTATTCTCTCTCTCTCTCTCTCTCTATCTCTCTCTCTCTCTCTCTCTCTCTCTCTCTCTCTCTCTCTCTCTCTCTCACTCACTCACTCATATCTCCTGTTCTCTCTCTCTCTCATATCTCCTGTTCCCTCTCCTCTCCTCTCCTCCAGACTACCTGCTCCCTACTAAGGAGCGTCCCCAGACCAGTGCAGTGTTGGCCCGCAGGCTGGTGATGGGGGCGCTGGGTGTCAAGAGTCCCCAGAGCAAAGAGCACCGCGAAGCAGAGAAAAAAAAACTGCAAGATGCCAGAGGTACGTGATTAAAGGGGCAATCTGGAATTCTAACAATAACAAGAGGTTTCCCCGCCACTTGTTTTGGTAAATAGCTGAGGGATGGGGCTGGAGAAATGTAACCACTCTCAAATTCATAGACGGTATGTATGCAAGGACTGACTGTCCATGAGATCAGAATGCTCGTTTTAACCATGTTTTGAGTCTATATAGCGTTTTTAGTGTCACAATTATATTGTTTACAAACAATGGAGTAAAACAGGCTTATATTTTGGGTTGTGATGGGGTACGACCAATGATGTGGATAAACCCTGGGTGACTAACCGGGGGGCGCTGTTTTGAAGCCACCGCAAAGCGATTTTGGTACTCCTCCGTTGTAAAAAAGATTTTGGAAGCTATAGAAATGCATTTATTAATGTCTACATTCGTTTTTGACAAGTATATTCTATTACAGACACCTTAATGCATACTTTTAAATTATATTATTCAAACTGAACATAAAAATAATACAATAAAATGTTTTTAAGAAATACTTAAATACATGTAATTTTGTCTTTGAACCATGTAATTGAAATACTGTAGAATTCCGTTCATTCCGATGGAGGGCTACTCCTACTGGGGAGTGCCTACATGGCAGACCGGTGGCTTCAAAGCCACTAACACGCCAATAAGTAGCATCAGCAATCCAGGGTTTATATAAATCATTGGGTACGACAGTTGAAGTAAGCTGTCATTGAATGTTGCTACCACTAGGGGGTGGTGTTCTGTCAGTGTGAAGATACAGATGGTGATGTCTCAGGACCATTACATTTTAGTCATTTAGCAGACGCTCTTATCCAGAGCGACTTACAGTTAGTACATGAGAGACTGAGGACAATGCTCTCATCTAGTGTTCTATAAACACACACTGCACGTCCTGGAAATAGGATCCAGTCATGTTGTTTAAGTGTAGCCTTGCTACCAAAGACCAGCTGTTGGGGGAAAAGTGGTGTCCTCACAAGATACAAATATAGAACAGATCATCAGGAGGAACTGACAACTAGATGTTTGCTGGTGGTGACTACTTCTTGCACTGAGAGAGAGAGGAGACCCATATACAGTGTGTGTGTGTCAGGGTCAGGAGAGAGAGAGGGAGACCCATATACAGTGTGTGGGTCAGGGTCCTGAGAGAGAGAGGAGACCCATATACAGTGTGTGGGTCAGGGTCCTGAGAGAGAGAGGAGACCCATATACAGTGTGTGGGTCAGGGTCCTGAGAGAGTGGTGGCTTACTGGTAGTTAGGCAGAGAGAAGGACCATACACGTCGTGTCGGGCTAGAGCCGAGAGTCGACCCTATCCATGTGTTGCCGAGAGAGAGATGGAACATATACGTGTTGTTTATTTCTGCTCCCAGAGGATATATAGTAGATACATAAAACCAGAAGGACCAGTCCACTCTGAGAGAGGATATATAGTAGATACATAAAGCCAGAAGGACCAGTCCACTCTGGTGGATTTAACAAGTGACATCAAATCAAATTTTATTGGTCACATACACATATTTAGCAGATGTTATTGTGGGTGTAGCGAAATGCTTGTGTTTCTAGCTCCAACAGTGCAGGAAGATCTAACAATACACAAAATACACACATGTAAAAGAATGGAATTAAGAAATATATAAATATTAGGACGAGCAATGTCTGAGTGGCATTGACTAAACTACAGTAGAATAGAATACAGTATATACATATGAGATGAGTAAAGCAGTATGTAAACATTATTAAAGTGACTAGTGTTCCATTATTAAAGTGGCCAGTGATTCCAAGTCTATGTATATAGGGCAGCAGCCTCTAAGGTGCAGGGTTACGTAACCGGGTGGAAGCCGCCTAGTGATGGCTATTTAACAGTCTGATGGCCTTGAGATAGAAGCTGTTTTTCAGTCTCTCAGTCCCAGCTTTGATGCACCTGTACTGATGACCTCGCCTTCTGGATGATAGCGGGGTGAACAGGCAGTGACTCGGATGGTTGTTGTCCTTGATGATCTTTTTGGCCTTCCTGTGACATCGGGTGCTGTAGGTGTCCTGGAGGGCAGGTAGTGTGCCCCCAGTGATGCGTTGGGCAGACCTCACCACCCTCTGGAGAGTCCTGCGGTTGCGGGCGGTGTAGGTGATACAGCCTGACAGGATGCTCTCAGTTGTGCATCTGTAAAAGCCGTTGCGCCTTCACCACACTCTGTGTGGGTGGACCATTTCAGACAATCAGTGATGTGTACGCCGAGGAACTTGAAGCTTTCCACCTTCTCAACTGTGGTCCTGTCGATGTGGATAGAGGGGTGCGCCCTCTGCTGTTTCCTGACGTCCACGATCATCTCCTTTGTTTTGCTGACGTTGAGTGAGAGGTTATTTTCCTGGCACCACACTCCCAGAGCCCTCACCTCCTCCCTGTAGGCGGTCTCGTCATTGTTGGTAATCAAGCCTACTACTGTTGTGTCGTCTGCAAACTTGATGATTCCATCAAGGAGTGCATGGCTACGCAGTCATGGGTGAACAGGGAGTACAGGAGGGGGCTGAGCACGCACCCTTGTGGGACCCCTGTGTTGAGGATCAGCGAAGTGGAGGTGTTCTTTTCTGCCTTCACCACCTGGGTGCGGCCCGTCAGGAAGTTCAGGACCCAGTTGCACAGGGTTGGGTTCAGACCCAGGGCCCCGAGCTTAATGATGAGCTTGGAGGGTACTATGGTGTTGAATGCTGAGCTATAGTCAATTAACAGCATTCTTAAAATAGGTATTCCTCTTGTCCAGATGGGATAGGACAGTGTGCAGTGCGATGGCGATTGCATCGTCTGTGGATCTATTGGGGCGGTAAGCAAATTGAAGTGGATCTAGGGTGTAAGGTAGAGGTGATATGAGCCTTAACTAGCCTCTCAAAGCACTTCATGATGACAGAAGTGAGTGCTAGGGGGCGATAGTCATTTAGTTCAGTTAAGGGAGGATGGGATGGAGGGGGGTAAGTGGTTCCTTTCCTCTCCGTCAGGCCTTCCCTTCCCAGGTGTTGTCTCTGTTTAGCTGCCAGAAGCTTCTGCTCTGAAAGAGGGATCATAGCTTTCACCTGGTCAGGAGGGAGCCGGACGGATGGCAGCTCATGGAACTGACTCTGTTTGTTTTCTGGCATGGATGACTTGGAATCTTCTGTTGTCAGGTGAACTTAGAGGACGTTATGTGATCATAGACATTATGTGTCTGTGTGAAGCTCTGTTTAGATTGTTCGATACAACTAGCGCTCCCTCCCCTGCCCCTGGTGCCCAGGGAGCACAAGACATTGAAAATGCGTATTTTCAACCCAAAAAATACTTATTTTCTACAAAGAAATACATATTTTCAACCAAGAAATACGTATTTTCAACATCTTTTCAACCCCAAAAATATGTATTTTCAACCAAAAATATATTCTCATAAGGTGGGGATGTGCTTTTTATACAGGAACATCCTATAATCATATACAGTCTTATGATTCATGCAGGGAAAAAAGTATTTGATCCCCTGCTGATTTTGTACGTTTGCCCACTGACAAAGACATGATCAGTCTAAATTTGAATGGTAGGTTTATTTGAACAGTGAGAGACAGAATAACAACAAAAAAATCCTGAAAAACGCATGTCAAAAATGTTATAAATTGATTTGCATTTTAATGAGGGAAATAAGTATTTGACCCCTCTGCAAAACATGACTTAGTACTTGGTGGCAAAACCCTTGTTGGCAATCACAGAGGTCAGACGTTTCTTGTAGTTGGCCACCAGGTTTGCACACATCTCAGGAGGGATTTTGTCCCACTCCTCTTTGCAGATCTTCTCCAAGTCATTAAGGTTTCGAGCCTGACGTTTGGCAACTCGAACCTTCAGCTCCCTCCACAGATTTACTATGGGATTAAGGTCTGGAGACTGGCTAGGCCACTCCAGGACCTTAATGTGATTCTTCTTGAGCCACTCCTTTGTTGCCTTGGCCGTTTGTTTTGGGTCATTGTCATGCTGGAATACCCATCCACGACCCATTTTCAATGCCCTGGCTGAGGGAAGGAGGTTCTCACCCAAGATTTGACAGTACATGGCCCCGTCCATCTTCCCTTTGATGCGGTAAAGTTGTCCTGTCCCCTTAGCAGAAAAACACCCCCAAAGCATAATGTTTCCACCTCCATGTTTGACGGTGGGGATGGTGTTCTTGGGGTCATAGGCAGCATTCTTCCTCCTCCAAACACGGCGAGTTGAGTTGATACCAAAGAGCTCGATTTTGGTCTCATCTGACCACAACACTTTCACCCAGTTCTCCTCTGAATCATTCAGATGTTCATTGGCAAACTTCAGACGGGCCTGTATATGTGCTTTCTTGAGCACGGGGACCTTGCGGGCGCTGCAGGATTTCAGTCCTTCACGGCATAGTGTGTTACCAATTGTTTTCTTGGTGACTATGGTCCCAGCTGCCTTGAGATCATTGACAAGATCCTCCCGTGTAGTTCTGGGCTGATTCCTCACCGTTCTCATGATCATTGCAACTCCACGAGGTGAGATCTTGCATGGAGCCCCAGGCCGAGGGAGATTGACAGTTATTTTGTGTTTCTTCCATTTGCAAATAATCGCACCAACTGTTGTCACCTTCTCACCAAGCTGCTTGGCGATGGTCTTGTAGCCCATTCCAGCCTTGTGTAGGTCTACAATCTTGTCCCTGACATCCTTGGAGAGCTCTTTGGTCTTGGCCATGGTGGAGAGTTTGGAATCTGATTGATTGATTGCTTCTGTGGATAGGTGTATTTTATACAGGTAACAAACTGAGATTAGGAGCACTCCCTTTTAGAGTGTGCTCCTAATCTCAGCTCGTTACCTGTATAAAGACACCTGGGAGCCAGAATGACACTGGGGAGCCCAGAAATCTTTGATGAGAGGGGGTCAAATACTTATTTCCCTCATTAAAATGCAAATCAATTTATAACATTTTTGACATGTGTTTTTCTGGATTGTTTTGTTGTTATTCTGTCTCTCACTGTTCAAATAAACCTACCATTAAAATTATAGACTGATAATTTCTTTGTCAGTGGGCAAACGTACAAAATCAGCAGGGGATCAAATACTTTTTTCCCTCACTCTATGTAATCATATATACGTTCTATATTCTATGTGTAATTGGGTGTGGTTATTTGATTTATTAGGATCCCCATTAGCCGACGCCAATGGTGACCGCTAGTCTTACTGGGGTCCGACACATAACGAAAGACATTACAGACAAAAAAAAGACTTAACAATTGACATACATTTAAAGACATTAACGTGTGTGGTGTGTGTGTGGTGTCTTGTTGATAGTATTGTCTACTACGAGTGGTATTAATTGCTACTTTCGTACCAACCTCTCTGTCTCTGTGTCCGGTCTTTGTCTTTCAGAGCAGAAGCGTCTGGCAGCTAAACAGAGACACGAACGCCTGGGAAGGGAAGGCCTGACGGAGAGGAAAGGAACCACTTACCACCCTCCAGCCCATCCTCCCTTCACCGTACGGACTAGACACACCTCTGTTCCCTCTCCTCTCCCCACCTACCATGGGGGCTACACAGCACCCCTCCCTCCCCCCTACGCAGGGCAGCTCTACTGAAGCCAAACTGGACCGAACATGAACTGAACTGAACTTGACTGAGCCAAAGCCCAGAGTGTGTTGCCAGAAGTTTTTATCTTGAAACCTGGTCAGCTTTAGATTCATTATCATTACTAACATTGATAACAGGGTAATATGGACAGGTTTGGATAATATGGACAGGTTTGGATAATATGGACAGGTTTGGATAATATGGACAGGTTTGGATAATATGGACAGGTTTGGATAATATGGACAGGTTTGGATAAATGGACAGGTTTGGATAATATGGAGGTTTGGGTAATAAGGGAAGGCTTACCAGGGTCGTATTCACTAGGAACCAAACGTTGGCCCTGTGTAAGGTGTAATGAAATCATTGTCAACAACAACAACCAACGGATGCCAGATAGGAACTTGTGTTGTACTCTCCAGGGTTGTTGTCAATTCCATTTAGATTCCAGTCAATTCAGAAAGTAAATCAAATTCCAATTCCACATTTTCCTTATTGAAAGGCATTGAGGAGAATTTGAATTTCGGTGTACTTCCTGAATTGACTGGAATTCAAATGGAATTGAACCCAACCCTGATACCCTATTCTGTTTTTATTTACTTTTTATATTGTTTTATTACCAGCTGATAGGGAGGAACTAATTATGACCTATTTATGTTACATTTATTAATCTTATAAAAATAATCTCATTTAGGAAGTGTATCTTGAATCTTCCTCCCTCAGTTTCTGCTAGCGCTAAAGCGAACAGTTTTTAGTTTAGGGGCAGTGTATCAAGAGTCTCAGAGTAGGAATGCTGATCCAGGATCAGGTCCCAACCTGTCCATATAATCCTATTCATTGTGATCTAAAAGGCTAAACTGATCCTAGATCAGCACTTCTACCCTGAGACGAATGAGACATTGAGGCCCAGCTATCTAACTACTTAATAATTATGAGAGAGGACCGATACACCAAATTACATTATGATGATGTCAGTTGCACCCTAACGTTTGTAAAAATGTTTTTGTAAAAACAATGTATTTTAGTTTTCCTATTATATTGTTCAGTGAACAGGGTTTGTCACTATGTTTCTCTTATTGGTGGTTTAATAAATCATTTTTAAACTCTCCTTGCTGCATCTCTCTCTCTCTTCTTGCTCTCTCTCCTCTCTCTCTTCTTGCTCTCTTTCTTTCTCTCTCTCTCTCCTGCCTCTTTCTCTCTCCTTCCTGCCTCTCTTTCTCTCTCTCTCCTTGCTGCCTCTCTCTCCTTCCTGCCTCTCACTCTTTCTTTTCTCCTCTCTCCTTGCTGCCTTTCTCTCTCTCTCCCCTTCCTGCCTCTCTTTATCTCTCTCTCCTTCCTACCTCTCTCTCTCCTTGCTGCCTCTTCTCTCTCTCTCTCTCACCTTGCTGCCTTCCTTTCTCTCTCTCTCTCTCTTCTGCCTCTCTTCTTCCTGCCTCTCTCTCCCTCTCCTTGCTGCTTCTCTCTTTCTCCTTGCTGCTTCTCTCTCTCTCCCTCTTTCCTTCCTGCCTCTTTCTCTCTCCCTGCCTCTTTCTCTCTCTCTCTCCCTGCCTCTTTCTCTCTCTCTCTCCCTGCCTCTCACTCTTTCTCTCTCTCTTTCCTGCCTCTCTCTCCTTCCTGCCTCTCCCTCCCTCTTGCTGCCTCGCCCTCTCTCTCTGTCTCTGTCTCCTTCCTGTCTATTTGTTTGTGCATATTTTATGAGTTGGGAGCAATTCCGTTCCAACTCCTGTCAACTCCTGTCATTGGTTGAACATTGCCTTTAAAAGGTGCATAGTCGACAAAGCGTGATGGGATTCCGGCCCATACAGACCCACGACAGTGCTGGGGAGTCGGTCTGTAAGCCAGAAACAACACTATGGTAACTGAAAAAGATAATAAACATGAAACTGAAAGAAACAGCCACTGTGACACCCAGCCCTGCCATAGCGTGGTGTGAGATCTGTGGTCAGGCCATGATAATATCAGAGCTTTAGGCTTTATGAGGAGGTAACATGCCACAGAGCTGCCAGCTTGGCACTCTCACACTAGCCACAATGTGCCAGTCTCTCACACGCTGCTTAGGGCTTGTCCCATTCCACACTTTCATCTTCAGTCTTGAGGACCACACAGACACACACAGACACATACATGGTGGAGGTCTTTATAGGGAGAGATGCCAGCTGTCATGCCCACCCAATGCCCACACGTGTCATGGTGTGGAGGTTGGTAGTTTGGCTCACACGCATAGTGCAAGCAACCATCACACGGCACAGTGGGATCCCTATCCCTATTA